CCTTTATCTCAACTTCACTTTGGCTACAGTCAGGCTACACAGTGGCTTGGGAACCTCTCATCTAGCCATAGAAGGCAAATGTAGGACTAGAGAATCCAAACAGAGCTGCATGTGTGCATGCACACACACAAGGTGGGGAAGAGGGAATCTTCTCTTCATATTTAGTTGTTTCTGCCCTCCTGGGTATGTTGGAAAGAACAGAGCTCAATGTATCAGTATATATTCAATTCAGTATCATGTATATTACATATCTAAACCAGTTGCTACTCTAGGTCTATAAACGCAAACATAAATGGCATGGTTTCTTCCTCTGTTCACGGAAAATTTGACTCTGTCATACTATTTATTACAACTGTATGAAAAAAATACAATTTTTGAAGGTAGTCTGTTCAGTTTAAGTTTCTCTGGGATTTGAGGATATTTGTTGGAACCTTTCTAGAATGTAGACATTTATTCTGGAACTTTGCTAAATGCCTTTTCATCCCATTTTGGTAAGTTGGTTAAAAAAATATAAATTCTTGGACCCACATGATTCTTATTTAGGAATCAATACAATTGCTTTAATTTTCTTGTAAGCACTTTATGGAGGCAGATAAAGTATGATCTATAAACTGAGTACACCTGAGCATCAGGGTAAAATTTCAAAACTGAGGCATTCCCGAATTTACTTTTAGTGTGCAAAGTAAATGTGCTTCCGAATTAAAAAGAAACAACCATAGAGGAAGTCAAATATTTTCTATTCAGTAAGACATTGATACTGAAAAGAGAAGAGGTGATAATAATCCATTAAGGAATTTCTTTAAAATCTCTACATACATTACTGCTCATACTTTTATTTTTCATCCTTGCCACAGTTAGTTTATAGATTGTTTTATATACATACTTCAGTGGGAAGTTTGTTTCAAGTTTCAGTAACTGGCTAAATAATCAGTGCCTTATATACAAAAGAAAAGTTTCCTATGGAGGAATTGTTTTTCCTTTTTGAATGACTTTTTTGTTGGTGGTGGTGATATACTTCAAAGTGCTCCAAGAGTTATGTGTGGGTATTTTCTCCATCAACGCCAAATTTATGTCCTTGTTATGGCCTTAACGAATAATGCTAATACATTGTAATAATACAAAGTAAAAAAAACAAAAAAACAAAAAACGAAGACCTAGTTTAAGACCTACAGTCATCATTCAACCATTTCTTTTTAGTGCCAGTAGGACTAACAATGGAGTTTATAATTCATGATAAGGATAATAACTAATAATGTTATCTTTATAAAAAATGATGATGGAAGAATGTTAAACATTTTATTCCTGTAAAGAAGACAATGAAGGGGCGCCTGGCTGGCTCAGTCAGTGGAGCATAAGACTCTTGATCTCAGGGTTGTAAGTTTGAGCCCCACGTCGGGTGTAGAGATTCCTTAAAAATAAAATCTTAAAAAAAGAAGACAATGAAAATAAGAAGTGAGTTAATGTAAGAGGTTAGTTAAGAATGGTTATTTCAGGGGTGTCTGGGTGGCTCAGTTGGTTAAGTGTCTGACTCTGGCTCAGGCCATGATCTCATAGTTTGTGAGTCCAAGTGCTGGAACCTGCTTCAGATTCTGTATCTCCCTTTCTCTGCCCCTCACCTGCTTGTGCTCTCTCTCCCTCAAAGAATAAATAAATATTTTTTAAAAAATTTTTAAAAAGAATGCCTACTTCACTTTTATTTTTCTTGAGCCTTAAAAATATCTAAACCATAAGGAAGAGAGAGGGAGAGAGAGAAAGGGAGAGGGAGAAGGAAAGAGAAGGAAGGGAGAGGGAGAGATCAGCTATGATGGAACATGAGCATTGGAATAGTGGAAAGAGTAGGTACTTTGGAATTAGAAGGCATGGCACTTAATTCTTGGGCACAGAGATGTTTGGAGAGGATGTTTATGGTCTCTGAATTTCAATTTTCCTAGCTGTAAGGTATAAAAATATAAGACAGTGTGACAAAAGCCTTTGTAAACCATCAAACACTATACAAATGACAGTTACCATTCTTCAGACTTGCAGAGAGAATGTAAAAACCTTTGTGCTAATAGAAGGGAGCCAAATCTGCGACATCACTGAGCCAAATCACCCAGATGCAGATGAACAACCAGGCCACTCTGGAGGAAAGTCACACCGAAGCTGCTAAAACACATGTGTCACACAGGAAATGCCCCGGGGAGAGCAAGCTATGTCTGTTTGGGAGGCTTTCTTAGGTGATGATTGAGCAGCTATTGATGGCATACTTTCTAGTGTTGTTCATAATGAGAAAAAAAATCTATGTGAGGGCTTTGGACGATGGGATTCAAAGGCAGGGAACTAGAAGCAAGAGGGTCTATTCTTTCTGCAAAGAGTCTCTCAAGAGAATGTTGTGGTAATAAATTGAGAAATAATATAAAATGCTCATATGGTACAGAGACCACTCCTTGTCTCCTACCATCAGAGCCATGATGATCACACTACTGCCGTGCTTTGAAAAGAAAGGATGAGAGATGATGCACCATTCTGCTCAATTGCAGCTTTCCCCTCTGCAAATTGCAGTTTTTCCACTCTTTCCCCTCCAAAATACTGATTTCAAATGTCACCTGTCCTCATAGTCTAGACATCTATTTATAATTATACTTAGAGAAGTTCTTTAAACAGCTGAAATCATCTTTCTTCGCTTATGTTCTATCTCTCCTTCCCACTAGAATATAATCACCAAGAAGCTACAGACTTATCTTGACGGTGTATCTTCATTGCCTAGAGCAGTGTCTAACACATTATAGGCCTTAAAAAAAATGATGAGTGAATAAATGAAGAAAGTGACAATATTTGGTTACAGTGCAGATACAGACAATTACCCAAAAGGAAATGATATGAGCTTATGATTGTCAACATGCATGGATGGATTCAGATGATATAAAACATTTGTTTTCCCCAAAATTCCACAGTGATGCCTCTCTGTGGGTAGCTACTAATCTCGTTGAAGTCTAGTCTCCATCCTTATTTTACCCCCTTTTCCTCCTCCTCCCATCTTTCCTCCTGTCTTTGCATCCTTTTGCCCTTTCCCTCACCACCAAATCAATAGTCTCGTTTGTAGCCTGGAGATGAGTTCCAGCTTCCATCAGGGACAGACAATGGTTGGTCCTAATTTCCCAACTAGAAGTAGGCTCAAGTCTTTCAGCCTTAAGGTAGAAATAACTAAAGAAAGAATTTTTCTTGCTCTGTTCATTGCACTTCCATAGCAATTTCCATAGGATATTATGCTAACAGTGTCTGTTACTTTTCTTTAAATCACAGATGAGGAAGATAAGGGGTAAAAGGAAAGGGCTGGAAGCTGGAGGGGTATAGAAAAGCCCACTGTGTGACATGAGCTGATCTCATAGGGATGGCAACTCAAGAACTCTTGAGTCCTTTACAACAGTGCTTTTTAAATTTTAATGTGCATAGTAATCACCTGAATATTGTTTGTAGATTTTGATTCAGGAGTTCCAGTGTGGGGCTCAAGAGTCTGCACTTCTTAAAAGCAGCCAGGTGGTCCATGGGTCCATGTTTTAGTCAATCTCTAAAGAGAAATCTTTTCAGTTTGTACCCCTGCTTTAAAACAGCATTATGTAAGAGAAAGAGCAAGATGAATTTGGAATCAGCTAGAACTGGATTTGAAATCTGGCTCCACTAATTCCTTAAAAGATGTTGGGCGAGGATTATTTTTAAAGTATCACTTCTCTAAGCCTCAGTATCATCTGGAATAAGGGGATGATAATATCTGTCTTACAGGATTGCTATAAAAATTAAATGAATTTCGGTGTTGTTTTTTTTTTTTTCAGAGAGCACTTTAGCATGGGGTCTAGACTGCTCTCTTTCTGCCCATTTTGAATTCTTCAAAATGGCATATGAGGACTGTCACAATTCAGCCCCAAGTTCTATTTCAAACTTTATCTGCTTCTTGATAAGTGAAACCATCTATACCCATACAGCTTGCTCTCCACATTAACATAATTTTACTTTTCAACTTCTGCCTTACCTAACTTTATATTCCAGGACATGTTTGCTCAGAAAGATTAAGTTGAAACTATTATCTATTTCAGACCCTCTTGAATTTATTTACTGAAATACTCAATTTGTTCTAATTAGATAAATACCCTCTTGTTAGAAGAATAGATCACTCAATGGGGCTCGTCAAATTATGTTTAATCTTCAAAGATTCTCTTCAAAGTCCCCACCTTGTTTTATCCATTAATCTTATGCTGTTATATTATGAACATTGTTCAGTACCAATCAGACTCCCTCATTGAAAAATATGCGTTATATTAGATCCCCAAACCTTACAAATGCGGTTTTGCTCCCTGCTTCCAAGATGCTACTACAATTCTGTCACAGTCGTAAATGGCTCCTCTTACCACAGTAAGCAAGACACTTGTATTTGCTTGATCAATCAAACAGGTTATTTCACTGTTCTTTTCAGAAAGTTGGAAGTCAATAATCTCTTGTACGAAAATGATTATTCACACAAATGTAATTAATTACTTGTTATTTCTTGAAGGTATTATACTTTCTCATAGTTTGTGCTTTTGTACTATTGATTCCTTTTTCCTAGAATATCATCACCTTGTCTTTTATGTAAGTTTCAAGGCTCCAGCTAAATGTTGCTTCCTCTTTATCGAAAAGCTAACTAACAACATGGATCTGCCATGCTTCTGTGCTTCCATAGCATTTAGAATGCCTTTTCTATAATATCCTATTGTTTTCTGATTGCTTGGGAACACACTTTTCTTTCCTAAAGACATTGTGCTCCCTGAATGTAGGTATTGTGCCATTTCCACCTCTATCTGCGCCTTGAATAATGAAAGAAGATTACTAATTGATCAATAGATGTTTGTTGAATGTCGAATGAAAAACATTTAGCTGAACTATTAGAGAAAGAAATGAGATAAAGAAATTTTTGTCAAAAGGAACTTGGGTTTATTTTCATAAGGATATCTTGTATATCCTCAATTGCACTTTCCTTTTTGTTCTAGATAACCCTCTGATGGCTCTGAGGAATGTTAACCTCTGGAGTAGCAGCTCTCAACAAAACATGGTCCTGCTGATGTTTCATGCCTCTGTCGAAAAGGTAATTTCTCATTTCCCTTTCATCTAGTAATTATAGATGACAATTAAGAGCTTGCAGTTGGTCCAGCCCTTCTATGAGCATAGCAGATGGTTTATTTCCTGTCTTCAGGAAAATTTTATCTCCTCTGGCATCAAGTCTGGATATAAATGTTGTCAGTTTTATGATATGAAATAGGGGGTCAGCATTTTGTTTAGCCCAATAAGACCTGGAAGAAAGACTAAGTTTTATAGTGTTGTGAAATCCATGATGGCTGATAACAACGTATCCTGACATCGTTATGTGTCTGTTAAAGTAGTATTACTCGTGTGCATAGCAATGCTTTATTGGATAGCCACAATTAATCCAACATGTGGGCTATTAAAGGTAGCAATAGGATTTTCAAAATTTCCATCTACACGAAAATCTAGAAGTTCCAAAACAGTGTCAGAGTTCATGGCTAACAGGTTTTGACAAGAGCTAAGCTAACGTTTGCATTAGTGAAGCATTTCCTAGGTAACAGCATATTGAGACATCAGCATTGTTGAGGGAAAAAGTAAAATCTAAAGAGTATTTATGACAAACAGTTAGCCTGGGTTGGTATTCCACACTAGCAGTAGGCTGCTTTTGAAAAGAATGCAAAACTATGTATATTGTATCTCAGTTCCTGATCACTTTGGGTCGGTTGGAGGCATAATTACTTAATAAAAAAAATTCAGTGTTCAGTAGTGAGCCTCAGCCATGTTCCTACCTTTGACTGTCGTCTAAGAATGAAAGAAATAACCTTTCTTATTATATAAGCTAGTTAGCCCACTCAGCACCCTGGGTAATATTTGTTTCATATCATAATGACAATAAACATTGTAACTTATTTGTGTTGAGTCCCAATGATTCTGCTTTCTGTGTGGCTTGTGTTAATCACATTTTCAGGAATGTGGGTAGTAATCATAATGGTTTATTATAAACATATTACAATGTTGCCTTTAACATTCATGACCTGTGTGATCCTTGAACAATTCTGGGAGGTAGGAATGTACCCGTTTTACAGAGGAGGTGGAGAGTCAGCCAGAAGAAATGACTTTGCATAGGTCACATGGTTGGTGAATGGAGGAGCTAGTGCCAGAACTCCGAGCTCCTGTCTTGCAGAAACGGTGTCCTCTGTCCTACAATACACAGATCCCTGTTAATGTATTTTAAAACAATTCCAGAAGAGATGTTGCAGACCCTTCACACGGAATGTGATCAATGGTTATTTTGAGGAGGCTGCACTAATATAACATTAGTTTTAATTGTGTTCTCCATTTGAGAACAGTAATCATGAAGAGAAATGAAAAGACTGAGTTCAGGATTGATTTTCTTGTGTTTGCAGCAACGATTGCAGCTTCAAGAATTCTGGAGACAGGCTTTTTTCAGAGATTGTTTTGACTTCTCTGTGTCAGAGTATTAAAGACAATCTCAGCGTTCGGTGCAATATTAATTATACGGGGTTTGAACTCAAACCTTCTCTATGGATGTGCCTGCACATTACAAACAGAGTGTCAGGACAGATAAATACATACTCATGTGTAGCATAATACAAATAATTAATGATACAGATTAACAGTTTCTAAGCGTTAGATTGTGCCAGCTCTTACGTGGATACTTGTTTGACATGTAGTTTTCGGTTTCTATTTACAATACTACATCGTATAATGGGTGTGGAAACAGGTTCAGTGGAGTAAGGAAGTTGTCCAAATTCACACAGGGGTTGGGTGACTGAGTTAGGATTTGAACCCAGGCCTGTCTGATTTCAGAGCCCCTTATGCTCTAAGGCACTGCTTTTCTTTTATCACATCGTGGAGCCTCAGAAATAGGGAGGGACAGATGGAGGACTTCTGATGGAAGGAAGGGAGATGAATGAGTGGGGAGAACAAAACGTTGTGGGAAGGGGCGCCTGGGTGGCTCCGTTGGTTGAGCGCCCGACACCAGCTTAGGTCATGATCTCACAGTTTCTGAGTTTGAGCCCCACATCGGGCTTGCTGCTCTCTGCGCAGAGCTCGCTTCAGATCTTCTGTTCCCCTCTCTCTCTGTGTCCCTCTCCTGCTCCTTCTTATGCTCTTACTCTCAAAAATAAATAAAACGTTAAAAAAAACAACTTTGTGGGAAAAGAGAGAGGCTGTAGTATGTGCGAACTACATGAGAACAGAAATCAAGAAGATATGGCATCTGGTCCAGACTCTGGTAGCAACTAGCATGACTTTGGACATGTCACATACCTATTCTGTCGTTTAATTTCCTTGTTCATAAAATATGGAATTGGGCTTAATTAACAGTTTCCTAGACAGGTTCTGTGAGTTCCAGAGATTCAAAGAGTGACATGGTTTCTAGGAGAGCCGTAAAACAAACAAACACAAAATGCAGCTCACTCCTATATAAAGGAGTAGACAGGGGCCCCTGAGTGGCTCAGTCAGTTAAGCATCCAACGCTTGATTTCAGCTCAGGTCATGAGCTCACAGTTTGTGGGTTTGAGCTCTGTGCTGGGCTCCATGCCCAGTGTGGGATTCTCTCTCTCCCTCTGCCTCTGCCTACCCCTGCGCCCCACCGAAAGAATATCCTTTGATTCAGAAAGTCTATTTTAAAATTGTCCAAACAAATTAATCAGAGCTGCACATAATTTATATGAAGATATTCAGTATAGTAGCAAGATAGTTAACCCAACACAAGTGTCCAACAGTGGAATATTGCATATGTTACATATATCCATGCAATAGACTATGTATACATTAAAAATAGCATTTGTGAAACATACTTAATGCATGAAAGAGGTTCCTTATTTATTGTTAAATAAAACTGCAGGTTACAAAGCTATGTAAGTCTTATGTTGTGTATATTTTGAAAGCTCTTCTCCCACATATCTCTATGGCTGGGTTCCTTCCTTTAAGTTTTTGCTGAAATAGCATCATAATCATACAATATATCTTCCCTACCTCATGTCATCATGGTTTCTCTCTCTCTCTCTTTTTTTTTAATGTTTGTTTATTTTTTGAAAGAGAGAGAGACAGAGTGTGAGCGGGGGAGGGGCAGAGAGAGAGAGAGGGAGACACAGAATCCGAAGCAGGCTCCAGGCTCCAAGCTGCCAGCACAGAGCCCGATGCGGGGCTCAAACTCACAAGCTATGAGATCATGACCTGCGCTGAAGTCAGACGCTTAGCTGACTGAGCCACCCAGGCACCCCGGTTTATCTTGGCTCTATTTTTTGTTTATTGAATATCTCACTAATGGACATATTATATGCTTTATTACCTATCTCCCCTTCGCTTGAATGCAGGTTTCCTAAACGCAGGGACATTTTCTGTTCACTGCTGTATTCCACTGCCTAAAGGAGGAGCTGACACATAATTAGGACTCAGCACATGATTGCTGAAATGAATATATAAATATACAAAATATTAATGATTATCTCTGGGTGAAGGGCTTATGAGTGTTTTCTTTTTAACATATCTTTTTTTTGTACTTTTCAAAAATGTTTACAGTGCATACGTATTACTTTAAGAATCAGAAACAGATGGAGAAGCTGGGTGGCTCAGTCAATTGAGCTCCTGACTTCAGCTCAGGTCACGCTCTCTTGGCTCTTGAGTTTGAGCCCCACGTAGTGCCCTGTGTTGACAGCTCAGAGCCTGGAGCCTGTTTCAGATTCTGTTTCTCCCTCTCTCTCTGCCACTCCCCTGCCTGCACTCTGTCTCTCTCTCTCAAAAGAAATAAAAACATTTTTAAAAAAAGAATCAGAAATAGAAGAAAAATAGTTCTAAACCTTCACTTATTTTGGAGCGAAATCTACCTCTGTATCTTCTATCTTCTGAAACTGCCAAATCAAACACCCATCCAATTACATATAAAAGTCATTATAATATTTCAAATAGCTATTCTCCTCCTCCCTGGCATTCCCCTCTGCACCGTATTGCTACCACCACTCCATGGATGGCCCAAATTCAAGTCTCTTCCCTATCATGGCTGCTTTCATTAATCTCTTCTCTTTCTATGGTGAGGCAAAAGTCACTAGTCAATGGTCTAGTCTTAGTAGTAAGCTAAAAAACATGCAATAACTTAGTTCTTTTCACTTCAAAGAGGAACACATTGTTTTGTGGCATTGTGCACTCACTTTTGCCTTATCTGTTGTGTACACACATGTACCTGTATGCCTCTTACTGGTTCACCTCACCTACTTCATAACTTGGACTTATCTCTTTATAAAAGATAAATAATGGAGCCCAAAATTTAGGTGCACATAGGGAAGTATTTGCTTAATTCATGTATTTTTAAATGTTTCTAATTTTCAGTGTTCTCAAAGCTTGGATTTAAAGTCACCGTTAGGGGCGCCTGGGTGGCTCAGTAGGTTAAGGGTCTGACTTTGGCTCAGGTCATGATCTCACAGTTTGTGGGTTTGAGCCCCACATTGGGGTCTGTGCTGACGGCTCAGAGCCTGGAGCCTGCTTCTGATTCTGTGTCTCCCTCTCTCTCTGCCCCCCCCCCACTCATGTTCTGTCTGTTTCTCTGTCTCAAAAATAAATAAACTTTGAAAAGATTTAAAATCACCTTTAAAAATATCCAGAAATAAATCAATTAAGGAATGAAATTCATTAGTTTCAATTTGTATTTGGTATCACTGCTATGAATAAATGGATTCATCTGAGACTGAAACAGAAATATAGTGGAATTTCAAGAAAGGGAAATGGTAGCACCATTTATTTTCTCTCTATACACATATAAATGAAAATATTTTATATATTTTCAAAATAATGTGGCTTATGTGTACAATTTTCTTCTAAGTACTTAGCACCAGTTAAATAAGATCATCATAAGCTAAATCCTTCTTGAATTCAAAATATCTTTTCTAATGAGGGACATGTACTTTGGCTGGGAGATTGTATTTATATATATATCAGTTTATATATCTTTCTTTATATCAATTTATATCCACATATCCATTTGTCTTAACATCTTAGATGTCTCTGGTATCACATATTCACATATCTAAAATTGAGTCCATGATTTCCATCTCAAAACATTTGTTGTTTCTCCTTGAGTTCAGGATAAATTGAGAAATATAATAAGGAAATGTAAGATACAATCCAAATATCACTGCTGCGCATACTCAGGAATCCAGGCTGACGGAATCTCTGATATCTTATAACTGTGCTGTCTGGGTCCTTCTGAGTTGCCTAGCAGGAGAGGAACACATGGAGACTCTAGTGTTTCTACCTAGAAGTGAAACTTTTCACTTTTGTTCACATTTTATTGCTCAAAGTAGATCACATGGCCATGCCTGATTCCAGGGAGCTATATGCCCAGAAGGAAGAATGAATGGGAAATCTGGTGATAACTAGAATTTCTTCCACAAGAAGAAACTTAACCTGTTTCATTCTTTTTACTTGGTTTGATCCATTGGACTTTCGTGTTTCCCGCACTCATGATCTTGCTCCCCATCTCCACTCTGTGCTGAGGCCTGGGAGGTGATGCGCACTGGGTCTAGAGAATGCCCAGGCAGTATCTAACCTAGATTCCCCTTCTCTCAACCTTCCTATTATTCCTCCCAAAGCCCTGGAAAAACTTTTTATTTTACTTCCTTCATGGGAGCTGGGGGCATCCCTGAAGCCAAAGATTATATTCTTGCCTACATACACATTGATCATATTCTATGATCAATGCCCTAGTCAATTCTTCGAACTTTAGACCGATATTTAAGGGAGTTTTTCAGGATTCAGAACACCTCTTTCTCTCTCCAGAAAACCAAGCTTCCAAGAGTACTGCTCTAAATATACCTAGAAAGAAGTCTGATTTGAAACCCAAACCTGAGTAATGTTCCTTTTGTTCTAGGCAAGAACTGCATTTTCCTTAGGAAAAAAACAAACAAACAAACAAACGCTATTCTTTTGAAGTTTGACAAATTACAAGACAACAAGATTTAGAGAGAATTGAGAAGACATAAGATAGTCTTATGTCTTCATAAGGTAAGTTATTTCTTCTGTACCTATATCTCCTCCAAGCTACGAGATTCATGAAGGCAGGAAGCAAATTGTTTGACTCGACATTGTTGAAGCAAAATATTATTTGAATAAACAAACAAGCAAAAGTACATCAGTATTTTGGATAACACAGGGAATACATTTAAATTTACAATGGGATCCAACGTTCTAAAGTTTGTCTCCAAAAATAAAAGGGTGGTAAAGTGCTCTGGGTGGACAAGAAGTTCACTCCAGTGAAGGAAAGGAATCGAGATGTACAGAAGCCTGTGCAAAGTGGCAACGTCAGAGGACAGTGAGGCAAAGCAGGAGCCACTGAAATATCGTCTGACCCAACATTGGGAATTTGTCCTAAGTTCCTTGAGGAAGGAGGTTGTGGAAATCAAAAAGAGCAGCTTGCCAGGGACTCCATATGAGAAGATGTATTTTCCCTCAAATAAACACTGCAGGACTGGCCAGAAGTGGGGGTGGGGTGTTCATTTTCCAGTTAAAGGGCCACAAGGTGGTGGGAGCAGAGCACATGGAGAGGTGGTAATGGCTGAGACAGCAGCTCTGTTGACCCCACAGCACTCTTGAGGTCTAGATTCGGTCCTTACCCATTTTGGATCAAAATCCACCAGAGACTGTACGGGAAATGCAAAAGACTTGGAATCCTCTTGTGACGAGTTCAAGGGCCACAGGTCATCAAGATTAACTACCCATAAGAGGCTTGAAGGACCTCAGCCAACAAAGGTCACACATTGAGGCTGTCATTGCTACATCCTTGCAAAGCTTCTCTCAACACACTGAACAATTAGATGAATGAGGTCTCCTTATGAGAGGAAATTCCACAAAACCCTGTAGGGATGTGTTGAGAAACTGCACTACAACTATTCACTGGGACTTGGAATGATTTTTTCCAGATTTTATCACTTATCAGCCACCAGAAGGTAGTTCAACAGCATTAAAACCTTGATGGCACGAATATGACAATGTCCAAAATCAGCCCAAGTGAACTTTGAACTTTCAGTCTACGAATACATGATATTGATATCATTTCAAGTCCAAAACACCCAGTTCTCGGCTATGATATCATTGGCGAAAACTGTCCAGAATTTGAAATTGGAAATTTCTTTGTGACCAAATGTCATGGACTTAGTATAAAAAATTATCCAGCTGGTTCCGATCATAAGAGTAAAACTGTCTCCAGTTCCCAGAAGCCTACACTTGTCTATTTATTTCATGATTGTCTATGGAGAGTGAAGTACTATTTTTATGCATGTTAACTTTCTTCTTATGAAGTTATCATTATGTAAAATTAAATTATAAAAAGTGACCACACTCAATAAATTTCTAACCTAGAATTTTTGTTATCCCCTCAAAATAAACAAGTACTGGAAAATGTCTGAAGGGAACTTAGAATATGATTTCTTGAAAGGTGATCAAGTAATTGCATGACAAATAACTGTAGAGTCTGCTTTGTTCATTTGTTTTTTTTTTAATGTTTATTTATTTTTTGAGGGAGAGAGAGAGAGAAAGAGAGAGACAGAGTGTGAGCTGGGGAGGACCAGAGAGAGAGAGGGAGACACAGAATCCGAAGCAGGCTCTGAGCTGTCAGCACAGAGTCCGATGTGGGGCTCAAACCCACAAGCTGTGATATCATGACCTGAGCTGAAGTCAGATGCTTAACTGACTGAGTCACTCAGGCACCTCAGATTCAGTTCATTTGTAAGAGAGTTGCCAGACTTCGCAAATAAAATATAGGACACACAGTTAAATTTTTATGTCTCAAATGTACATCTGACATAGAGTTTGGTCATGAAGGGTGACCCTGATGATTTTTCTAAGTCCACCTCCAAAGGCCAGGACCGATCTATAACATACTTATGTTAAAAAAATTATTTGTTGTTCATCATAAATTCAAATTTAATGAGCATCCTGTATTTTATTTGGCAATCCTAATTTGGAGGAACGGGCTGCTTGCCATGGCACTAAAAGTACTATTGTAATTTTTCATTCTGCATTATACTTATACCATTAGTCTTATTTATAAGAGAGGAAAGCAAATTTAATTGGATAGCAAAATATCACTGAATGAGATTACTCTGGATTTTTACTCTATCAACGTTTTCCTTTGCTAATGCTGAGATCTGTATTAGTTGGAGAAGAGGATTTGTTGTGAAGTACTTTAGGGTGGTGTAGCCCAAGATTTTGTAAATGGGAACCATCTCAAAAGAAATTCTCTACACCTGTGAGGACTCACTTTGACCAGCTGTAGATTTTCATTCTAGCGCTTGAAAATTCCCGATGAAAGAGAGGAGACAGCTTAGATTTACCTCCACTTAGATCCTGGAAGTTCAGAGCCTTGCATCTTTACAGGAATAAATGTTCTCATTTCATTAATTGGCTCAGGGAATTTAGGTCAGTTTAGTGATCTATCACATATTTATGGTGAAAGCAAGTGTACATTGCAAAGCCTCTTGAATTCTTAAAGAGCAGAGAACACTATTTAGAGAATAAGTCACCTTTGTTTGGTTTTACTATTTGTAATAATAAGAGCTCCAATTCATTCAACACTGAGTATGTTACAGGCACCGAATAAATGATCTAGAGTCATTATTTCTCTTATCCTCCAAACATTGCTCTCAGGTATTTTATCTCCAATTTATAAATAAGTTTTAATTTTCACCGTGGTTCACACAATTGCCAAGTGCAGAGCTTGATTGTAAACCAAGTTCTTATATGAAAGCATACATTTTAACCACCGCACTGCACTTCTCACCAATTTGTGTGTTGCTTTTGCTTTACAGCATGAGATGACTGCTAGCAAGGCCCTCACAAATAAGCCCCTTTACTTTCTTTCACTCAGAGTTACAACTCCTTTCCCCAAATGCCAGGCATATTGAAGCTTTGCTCACTTGGAACTTAGACAAACAGGCCACATGCATTCCTCCAAGGCACTAGGGAAAATGGAACAGCGAATATTTTTCTGCCTAAAATGAATCACATTTTATATCGACTGATGGGTCCAGCAGTGAAACTCTCAAGTTTTTGCTTCAGGGTCAAATTCCTTAAGAGGAGCTTAGGCAGGCCCAGCCTGGCTCAAAACCTGCCAGAGGTGTCGTGGATGATTTGATGGTAACCACACTCCATGAGGAAGATCAGCGTGTTTGTAAAAGCCACAAGTCCAAAACCAGTAGTTAAGGGAAAATAATGAGAGCACTGCTGGAAGAAGATATTGGGAAGTGATTGAAATCGTTCTAGCTTTCAACAGCTAGTGAGATGAGCCTATGGATGAGTCCCTCTTCCTCAAGAAAACTAAGGCAGAGCGTGAATAATCTGCCTTCAGCATCATCAAAATCATCTTGATTGGAAAACTGACACACAGCCTCGCGATTGATACAAAGCACTTATTTTCTTTAGGGGAAATACTATTGACCTTTAATAATCAGGAAAATACAGATGAGAGGAGAAATAAAACAAAGGCACAATTTGTGCTAGTTTACTTCTGTGGTGCTGTTGACACTTTATTGTATATTATTATTATGCCAAAAAGACGGCTCTACCATTAACATTTTGCAGGATACCTTTCATGCACAATTTGCTTTGTGTTAAATGCTACCCCGGTGTCCAGAAGATTTAATGTGCCTGTGCTGCTTGTCCATAAACTTTGGCCACAATTGCTATCATTGGAATAATTAAGGAAATATGTGAAGTACTTTATTGACATCATTACTCTATAGTCCTTTGGGCAAAGCCTGTGAGACAAGTCATCTTTTGTCATCTATTTCTATTGATAATCTCTTAAACTTTTTTTTTTTTTTTTTTTTGAGAGAGAAAGAGAGACAGAGTGAGTGTGAGCAGGAGGAGGGGCAGAGGGAGAGGGAGAGAGAGAATCTTGAGCAGGCTCCATGCCCAATGAAGAGCCTGACCCAGGGCTCTATCTCACAATCTGGGGGATCATGACCTTAGTCGAAATTGAGAGTGGGACTCTTAGCCGACTGAGCCACCCAGGACCCAGGAACCCTATTATTGATAAACTGTTAAAATAGAGTCCAGTATTTAATAAAGGTAATGCGCATACAGCTGGAAGTCAGAATATTCATTTGGAATCTAAACTCTGCGATTGACTCCATGTATGATCTTGGGACTTAACCTTAGTGAGCTTCTACTTCTTACTCTGCAAAATATGGCAGCTTGCTTGGAAACTTGAGCCATTCCATCTAGCCATCACATCTAATGACCCTTGTACAAGGGATAGCAATTTATGTCATTCTGTTTAACCAAGATCAAGCGCTTGCTGAATGCCAGGCACCAACACTTCCTGCCCTGAGAGGAGACCCAAGGCTTTAGCAGCAAGCAGCAGGCACTACTAGAGATCTGACTCCAGAAATAGTCAACTAAGTCCTCTAGCCCACTGTTTGCATTGTTGTTCTGGCAAGCTTCGCCGTCATTTAAAAAGTGCTAGTTATTACAAATGGAACCTAATTGTATAAAAAGATTTTGAGAACTTGCAGATGCTTTTGGACTGAATTGAAGGATCTAAGGTATCTGAGCACTTGGGCTATGCTTGGAATATGCACATGGTAGGAGTTCAACCAATACTAGAATGAATGGAGACACCTAGATGACTCAGTCAGTTAAACGTCCAACTCTGGATTTTGGCTCAGGTCATGATTTCACAGTTTATTGAGATCCAGCCCTACTTGGGCTCCACACTAATAGTACGGAGCCTGCTTAAGATTCTCTCTCTCCCCGTCTCTGCTCCTCCCTCCCCCCATGTGTGCACATATGCTCTCTTTCTCTCAAAATAAATAAGTAAACTTAAAAAATGATACTAGTATGAATGAATTAATTAAAATATTGGGATAAGAATTTCACATTTGATTAAGTTTCCAAAAATGGAAACATCTTCTCCATGTTTAGCAATATCATCCATACTCCATAGAAATTTGAGAAATAGTAATATTCATATACTGTATGATGTTTTATGGTTTGTATTTAACATT